AGGAACTCTAGTGAAAGGACAAGGAATAATGGGTACAAGCTGAAAGGGGAGAAATTTAGCTTCGATATTAGGAAGAAATTCTTTACTGTGAGGGTGGTTAGACGCTGGAACAGGTTGCCCAGGGAGGTTGTGGATGCAGTGGTCACTGCGGCCAGATTGGATGGGGTCTTGAGCAGCCTGGTCCAGTGGGAGGTGCCCCCAGCCCATGGAAGGGGGGGTTGGGATTGGGTAACCTCTAAGGGCCATTCCAACCCCTTAACATTCTATGATTCTGTGATCCAGCACAGCCAGAGAACAGCCAAATCAAGCCTGAGGATACCACAGAAAAGAGAGAAGATCCAGATCCACAGAGTAATTAGCCTTTGATGCTCTGGGTATGTCAGGCTAACCTTTGAATATTAACTAAGATACTAATTGATATTTCAAAAAAACCCAACATCCAAGTGTATTATGATATGCCAAATAAATGTATCACAGTAGTGCCTCTAGTTATTGTAGCAGTAGATGAATACCAACTCTCCATTAAACATGTTGTTTTACGTAAATCAGAGTATTTTGCAGAAGTTCAATTTTTTACTTTTTATGGAGAAAATTTAAAATACAATGCTGGGACATTTAATTTTGATGGGTTGTTTAAAGTATTATAAACAATTCCTATATATTATTTGTGTATAATAATAGGTATACTAAAGATGTACCAATACAGCACTGAATGTCATAAAAAACTAAAATGAAGGGTTCAGAGGAAAATACTTTAAAATGATCCATTACCGACTTCACTAGTTTAAGTGACTTATTTTGGACACCTCTGAAACAATCCATGGCAAAGCCATTAGATAGCTCTAGGAATTTGTGCAGGCTATAGACTCAGTTGTGGGTTGCTGGTTCAAATCCAGAGGGCCTGCATGGGTACAAGGAATTGTTGATAGCATGACCTTGACCATGTGTTTACCTCCCTGGCTGTAGGTGACAGTAACAGAAATAGCATTAATTAGTCCACTTCAGTATCTCAGCCAAGGTCTGATGTGGCAAAGCAGGGAAGCCTACTGTGCTTCAGACTGGAGCTCCATGCTCCGTGGATAAAAATGTAGCTTCCCCATTCCAGGTCCAATCCAGGTTTTATTAGCATTGTTGGTGTGATGCCAAAGGAAAAGTTAGCAAGAATAAGAAGAAAGCATCAGACTAGGTAATTGGTTAGAGATGGTACCCTGGGAAGACAGGGACAAAAGGCAATGAGCTGTAGCCAGCCACACAATCCAAAGTAACAAGCAGTCAGCACTGGATTAGCAACCAAGGCAACATTAATAATTTAACTACAGCGTTCACAATGATTTAACCATGCTATTCAGAGCACAAAGCTAATGGTGATATAGTGAATGAAGCTAGAAGGTGGTGAGATTTAAAAAGTTTGTAAGTGTCAGCACATAAAATAATCTCTATTGGAAAGGGCAATGTTCAAATTTTTTGCTTTCTTGTTTCCTGGAAAACAAGAGGCAACAAAGAACAAAAAAGCAAAAGGCAAGCATTTATGTTTTGGTAGTTGCTATTTAGTATTTTCCAGCCATGAAGGGGTGGGCTGTTTCAGAAGTTCCTATTGACAGCCAATTTACAGAATGTGATAGACCAACACATTATGCTGTCTTTGAAAACTGAATAACAAATGTTTTTTCTATTTACTAGTCAGAAGTAAAGGAATAGATCTGAGCTGCAGAGCACCCACCCAAAATACATAAACCTTTCTCAGCATGCCCCGCCTGCAAATTCTGCCTTCGTCTAAGTTAACATTATGTTATAGCCCATCCTAATTCATGGAGGGCTGCAAAAAGAAGTATAAAGTGAGAACATAGGAATGTGATCGCTCAGAATGGACTCTCAAAATGTATCACTTGCCTACACACAGTCCTACAACTCTACTGGTGGGATTAAAATGGTAGAACCCCTCTCTAAGGATTACACCCTCTACTTTATCACAGAAGATATTTGCTTGAATTAAATCCACAACTGTCCCATGTTGCATTCTCTCACCCTGTTAAGTTAAATGCTTTTCTTGAAGTGACCATGTAAAATGGCTGCTGTTTTTACACCTGGCGTGCGTTGTGTATGTATTCATAGGCAGAGCTTTTACTGCGGTGATAAAAAAATGGAGTTTTATAATCCTTTACTTGCACTAGCATTGAGGACTCCATTCAGTCAAGACAAAATGAATTAGATTCGATTGTGCTTCACATATCCTGATTGAAGCACTACTGCAAACTCCAATTGCAGCAACAAATTTTGCTAATTGCATTGTGCAAACTAGCTACAGAGCCTGGGCTGAAGGAAAATTTAAACTCCCAAGGAAAACACATTATTATATTACATATTGCAGGCTGCTCTCAACTTCAAGTTGCAGTGGCCCACCAAATCAATTGCTCCAGTCTTGAAGCTCTGTGAATACCCTTTGAGCTGTAAACTATGCAGGGCTGAAGTGTTCACCAGGTGCTGGGGATATTTTGGTTATCTCTGGGCTAGTTCTAAGTGCACATTACAGGAAATGGTTCTGGTCCTATTGACAGCATTTATCTGAAAAAAAACCTGTATTTAAGAAGTTTAGTAGAGGCACTGGGGTAGCAGTGGGGGTACAACTGTAATATTTAGGATTGCTCAGTTTATGTGCAAAAACTATGTCAAGCTAGTTTTCCTTCTGTGATAGGCAGATGAGAATGGATCCAGAAAGGCTGGATCCTAGGGTCGTCTCTAAGTACACTGCAACTGTTCTTGCTGAATTTATATTGGTCATACCCAGCAGAAGAGTATCTCCAGCTGTTCTGGATCTTATTGATAAAGAAAGTTAGTCCTATAGAGATGCTAAAAGCAAGGCTAGATTTGTCTTTGTTTGACAAAAATGTAGTATGAACAGTACCATTCCACTTTTTTGGCTCAAAGCTTCATCTACATAACAATGCAGTACTGTCATTAGTAATACCACTCCAGGGCATCTTTTCTGAGTTAACAAAAATATTAGACATGCTATTAATACCACCCATTTCACATGTTGATGTTGTAAATGATTATTTGTACTGCTTACCTCCTGTGTAATTCTATATTATATCCCAGTTTTTAGATAAGTGAAACCTCAAAGCATTCCTGCCTTGAGCCCATACCTTTGTACAGGTGGTCTGTAGATCAAACCCAAAGAAAAGGTAAATAATCATATTCCCAGCAAGATCAAATGCCTGGCTGAGCCCATGGTTCAAGGTATGAAATTTGGTCCATGAGCACAGAGTGGGCTTTTTACAACATGTACTCAAGAAGCATCCTTGCCAGGCAGTGTGTGTGCTCCCTTCCACAACTGGCAGGGTCATCTGGCCCCCAGCAGACTGATGGGGGTTCCTGCCTCCCCTCCATTGCTGAGCCTAAATTAGAGAGTTAAAATGTTGAAAAGTGAGTTTATTTGGATTTTTTTAACTGAAAAGATAGCGACAGAAGAAGTGGTTGTGGTTGGATTATATTCTATCTCCTTAATCTCCTGTGTGTCAATAGCAGGTCTGCAGCAGTAACACACTAACAAACACTGGTAAATCAGATTTTACTCTTCAAGCTCTTCACACTTTATACTCATTAACTATGACCTTCCCATGGATGTGCTTGGATGATTTTTCCTGCTCATTCCTGTTTGTTCTGTCCTCTGAGTACTTTTAAGGAGTGGAAACCAATGTTGGCTTGCTACTGAGATAAACACATAAAAAGAGGTGCCTTCTGCATCTCCCTCTGAGGACCTCATGTCACCGCCAGCAGAGGAATTGGCATTAAATTTCCATAACTGAAAATCTTGAGGCGTGAGCTCCATCCAGCCTCAATAAGAGTTGATAGGCAAAGACTTGCAATAGAAGAAGTCACTGAGGAAAGCTCTGCAGAGCTGATGTTGGCAGGTGACTAGGAAGCCCTAATCCCTTTGGATCAGTGCACAGCCATGTGCTGAAAGGATCAGTCTTTGATTTATGGTGAAAATTATGATTCTTGCTGAAATTCCTTGATTGTTTCAGACAAACTAGATTCATCAGAAAGGCTTGTTTTTGCAGGTCATTATTGTTTTTGAAGATTATCTTCTGAAAACAAGAGCCTTCTTTGCTATCCTTTTGATACATGTGATTTTGTCATGCACATCCTTTCCCAACTGATTGAGTAGTGTTGTTTAAAAAATTTCAGACTTCCTCTGGATTTTAAATATACTACAGTAAATCCATCTTGGGATGAATATCTGTAATAGAAGCCATACTGCTTTCAATGATTGCATTGAACATAATTTAAAAATATATTTACTGATTTTGCAAGATTTTAATGATCTTTGTAAAGTTTTCTAAACTATTTAGCATGCTTTGAAGAAACATAGTATAAAAAGAAAATGTTACTTCTATAAAACACACAAGGATGCCATGTAGGGAAGAGCCATTTACTGTGCTCAAAGCGGATTTAGGACTCAACAGTATGTTGAGAAAGTTAAACTGCCTATTAGCCAGTGCCAGCTGCACCAGAGGCTGTTTTCAGACATATTTACTGGGCAGGGATCCAGCATTACTGTCATACCTGCTTCCATTCCTTGTCTGTCCCTGCACTATGTAGTGGTATTTTCATATAATTATAAAGTCTATTTTAGTAGTGAAGGTGTTTTCATATAAGTATAAAGTCTATTTAGTAGTTAATATCCTCTCTTGAGCAATAGCTTCAAGACTTAGACAAAGGAAAAGAAGAAACACAAGCAATTCCCTTAAAAATATATTTTTTTTCCCTGCATAAAGAAAAATAAGTCTATCAATTTAAAACATCTAAAGATTTTACTCCTGATGGTCTCCTTTTAGTTTTTTTCCTTAGGTTTTAATTACTTTTCTCTTAACAGCTCCACATGGCAAGATATCTCTCTTCCAAGCCCAGAGGGAATGACTGAATCTCCTGTTTGACTATCCCAGTGCTTTTCTGACAGCTGTACTGCTAGCTTTGCCTTCTTTGTTGTTTTTCCTTAGCTCCTGGGATTGGCTAATAGAAGATCTCTGCTGTGAAGCCCATCTACAACATGGCAGGGTCATTGTTTCCCTCTGGCAAAGGAGATTTTGTTTGCAACAGGTGAGGATGAGTTGGTGGGAATAGCAAGCTGTGCACAGTTGTAACTCCACCAACTTTGAGGGTCTTTGTCAGAGAACCTCACTCAGTGATTCATATAAAAGAGGATAAAAAACTGATCTCTGGAAAGGAAGCACAGAAGACTTCTGAGCTTGTGCCAGACCCCAGTGAAATCCAAGTGAGGGCTCAAGTGTTCCATTGTTCTCCTTTCCTGTTAGAACATGGAACACAATGGGACAGCAGTCCTACTAAGAGCCTCTAGGGGCTACTGCAGTTCAATAAATCACAATATATAAAATTCAAACCCAGTTTTAAGTCTGATATGGACTGTGCTAATCTCTGGTGTGCTATCTTGGACTTCAGAAGAATTACATGCAATGGAATATTGCCCACTGAGCCTTTGCTGACTGCTCTCACATTGCCACGAAGGATAAAGGATCACAGTGAGTACAGAATATTCTCTTTGGACACAGTGTTTTGTCTTGTTTTCCTGGGAGAGGAATTAGTCTTTCAGTTCTCTTTCTTTCTTTGTTCCCTACTTTCTGATAATATTGTAAAAGTAATATCTTTAGCTTATGCTAGGTTCTGCAGAGATCACACCAATTTTGTGTACATAACAGTTTTTTTAACTCCTTGCTAGTGTTTTAATGAAATTTGGTTTTATTTGAGTTAATAAGAATCAATGTTTTACTAATTTTCTCTTTCAAGATACCATGCACCCTTGATAATTCTCTCCCACCACATAGGGTTTAGTGCGCTGTGAAATGTTTCACGCACCATACGAGGCATAGCAAGAGAACATGTGCATGTGAGAGAAGGAGCACTCTTAAGAGCAGCATATTTAAGAAACTCAGAGTTTAGGAGGAAATCACTACAGGATATCAAAGCAAATTTCACTCCAAGAAGGTTTCAGTTTGTCAACAGATGTAGCAAAAAGGCTTCCTGTTGTTTCACAAACAATGAATCTTCTCCTGCCTATAAATAATGTAAAGACAAGTCTCAAGATTTTTAAAAAATTCTGTTAGCTTGAGGCTACCTACCCAGCATGCCTCCTTGTTTACAACTTCCCACTACAAATGTATATTGTGTTTGTTTTCAGACAAACATCAGCTTTCCCAATGCCTGCAATTAACCTCCAGTACATATTAGCAACAGCCTTTTAAGCAGTTTTTACTTCTATTGATACTGGGCAGCATGGTCCTGGAGTGGTTGGCTCTACACCATGGAGAAATTATGTCCTTGGCAGGAAGGGTACAGTGCAGCCCCTGCACCTATAGTGGTAATGAGTTACTCCCATCGCCTGCCAATCCTCAGCAAGCCCCTGCTCTTCAGCTAAACTTCCTTGAAGCCATTTTTAAAGATAGAACGAAATGGTGCATTGAGTAAAGCTGCTGCCCCACCTTACATAGGTCTTGAGGTTATAAATGGGATCTACACAAAGGAATGGATTTTGAAAGTTCCATTTTTTTTTTGTCCAAAGGTTGTCTTTTATGTGAGAGTGCCTGAACTCCCAACATCTCCAAGAGTGCAGGTGAGTGCCCTTAATGCTTGAGCCCTCTTCTGATTTTGTTATTCTCTCATACTGCATTTTTCTGTGCAGGTACAGTAAGCCCTGTGCTTAGGCTAGCATGTCCTGCCAAGGTTAGGGCCCCTTGCATAGCATGGAGCGATGTGCTTGGTCTCTGGCAGGATGCCGAGGGCACAGAGCCCATGCATGCTCCTTCCTAACCAGCAGTGTCTCACATGAAATACAGGTGCTTGTCTGTTTTGTTTGGTGTCTTATCCTGTCCCTATGGGCGAGGTGTACTCTTTAGCAAGTGTTTGTTCACATAGTTTTTAGAATCTCATTAGATTGTAGGTGCTCAGAAAGAAGTTTTGTGTGCAGTTAGGAATACAGGAATACTGGACATTTGTAGAGATTACAGAAAGGAAAACAAAAGTCAAGGTGCTGATGGAGTGTGGGCAACCAAGGAGATTTGGATAGCAAGTCTAGAGTTAAGCAGTTAAAGTCCAGTTTCAAATTCATCCACATTCACTCTTTATTGGGATGATCCTGAAACACGTTGTTCAAAAAATCAAATTTGGGTCAAGGACAATTTTGTCTATGGTTCTAAATTTTACATGAAAACTTGTAGTGACAAAAGGCTTCTGTCTGGGACTGGAGTCTTGGCTAATTCTAAGCATCCTCAGAGTTTCTTCTTTGTTCTTATCGGCTCTGGTTTTCCTGAAGGCTTTTGACACTGGAAACAGAGTTTTTAAAAGTGAATGCAATTTATTTAAAAGCACATCTGAGTTTCAAGAAGAGAGAAATTCTAGTTAATTACATTCCAGTATAATATAAGACCAAGACTATAACAGAGTATGGCACATACCAAAGATCTGGATTGATTGTTGGGATCAGTCAAGGAACAGCTGCAAGCCATAACCATCCTTCAGATTTCTGATGCTTTATAGGAAGGGGCATCCACCCAGATCTTTCCAGTTTTCTAAATCTTGGCTGACAGGTGTCCATCTACACAATGACAGCAACACAATAAACTGCTCAGCTACATTCCGTGACTGGGCACAGAGGAAACTTCCCCTCTCCCCTGCTTCGGGCTGATTCACTAAGGACAAAAGGAAGTAGTTTCTTGGATGAACTATGCTGAACCATTGCACTAGTCACACCCATTTTGGAACTTCTAGCCTGGCAGTTGCATAACCATGAAGTGTACCTGAAAAAAGTATAAGCAAGAAAAAGCCACGAGTCTTGTGAATTTATAAAAAGCAGCAAGGGGGGAAAAGGTTCAGAAAGTCAGATGCTGTTTCTGTCCATCCCCCAGAAGGTGAATTGTTCTCAGGTTTTCATAAGCTCTTAAAATTCCAGCTGCATATCTAATTTCCAGGTCTTACATATCCAGCTGAGGTATTACTTCCCTACTGCCCAAGTCAGGTTTTGTGTTCTACAAATGGTCTACAGAAATATCATTATAAATCCATAGCTGAAAGGGCCTGTACATCTTAAGTGCTCTATCGTTTTCTACCTCTGAATATTCTGCCAGCAGAGATTTAGAACATTGGCTCTGTAAATGCTTTCATGTCAAGACTAAAGGCAACACTTGTATAATTCATTCTTTGACCCAACAGCAGCTTTATCTTAGGTTATCACTTGTTAAGCTCTCTAGAATGTTTTAAACATGAAGGGGGCTGCTGTGTATATATATCCTGTCTATTGTATTTTACTCGCAGAAATTTGACAGTAGTGATTCATAAACATCAAAACCATTTCCTTTCTGTGCTGCAAATTATGTTTTTCTTTAGCTCCATTCACAAGGTGTGTAACCCATTCCAGACAAAAGAACAACAACAAAAAAAAACCAAAACAAAAAAAAAAAAAAAAGAAAATTACATTTGTCCCCTATTAAATTTGTAGTTTTTATTATAGATCACTAGAGGTCAGAGATTTTTATACATCTTCTTCTGTGTATATATTTTCATATATACTTGTGTGTATAAAGTAAAGTTTGGTGTGTGTATAAATATACCTGTATGTACAGTTTGGGTACAAGTATATTTATATTTATAAGTGTAAATATGCATACACATGTGCACAATTTTATGTGCTGTGGTGTAAATGGAGGACTGGATTTATACATCAAATGTAATGCAACCTGATTAGAATAACAACTAAGGTTTGCTGTGCATTAAGATAATTTACACTACTCTGTGTAAACCGATCATTCTGTAAACATAGGATTTATCTCTAAGTTGTCAAAACACAACTGTATTTAAAATCAGCATCTAATAATGACTCCTCAGAAATTACATCAACAGAATCCTTTTGGATTTGCATTACACAACACACATCAGAAAATCACAAGTTTTGTATTATTGAGTCACAAGACTCTTTATATCAGTCTGTATTTTTACTCTGAGCAATGATGTTTTCTACACCATAGGACAGATAACTTTTCACCCAAATACTCCATTCTCGGGTCAAAGTCTGATTCCTCTCTGAACATCATGACAAGATCTGAGTACTTGCCATCCTCTCATTGGCTCTTTAAAAAACCCAAAACAACCAGCCAAAGCCAAAGTGAAAACAAAACAAAACAAAACAAACAAAAAAAAGGCAAAAAACCCCAATAGGGTGAGAGCCTCGAGGGGAGGTTTGCAATGTCTTGCAATAGGTTCCCCAATCCAGATAAGCAAGGACCAATGCAGACAGAGCAGTTTAGCCCTGTGCAATCTCTGTAAGTGCCAATCAGTTGGGACATAGCACTGACAACAGCAGACCTCTGCCAGATGGCTTGGCCCTGAGTAATTACTCAACAGGATATGTTAACAGGAGTAATGTGAAAAAAATACTCTGAGTGGAAGAACAGGACAGCAAAAGTTACAGCTCTGTCAGGAAGGAGGTAGTTTAGAAATGTAGCCTGCAAGGAAATTGTGAGTCTGGGACCATTTCCCTCAGACAGTGTCCCTCTGGTACATTCCCCTCAGAGAGGGGCTGTTGGAGAAGGAACTTCACCATCAATGTCATTGCAAACAATGTGGCCTCTTAGCAAAATGCTTGAAACTTATGCAGAGAACTAAATTAGCCATGAACAAAAAAACCTAAAGTCTATCACCACTTTAGAATAAAACACCTAGATGGAAGCTATGGGACTAAATAACCTGAACTTAAATGCAATTATCTAGGGGGCTTTTGTTTCCTTGCAGGTCATATAGAAAGGAAAAACAGTGCTACACCTTTGATGTAGTTTTAATAAATATTCAAAGTCTCTTCAATTACTGCCTGAATAATTACTGTGGATGCAAATAAAATGGGGAAAACCAGAATGACTTTCTGGTCTTCCTCAGGGGAATGGACTTTGGAAGTAGCAGCACTGAATTGGAAGTGAGGCAACTTCAAAAAGAGAGGAAAGAAGAAAGCTGAGAATAGTAGGTGTTGTAAGCCTCTCAAAGGCACTATGTTGCTAGCTATGCATGCAAAAGAGTCTACATTAGCATTACAGCCTTCCACCATGGTGAGTGGCCAACTACAGTTTTGGAAATGACACTTTCTTCTCTTTGTGACCTGAGGGAAGTCTCTGTGCATTACCTTGCTGACTGCTTCAGTGAATCCTTTACAGCAAAATACAGCAAAATACAGCAAAAACCTGGCTGCAAGAAACAAACAATATTTGCAAGCAGAACACCCATGAAGACACTTCTCTTGGTAGTGAGAGTTTAAATCCAGGGATCACTTTGAGCACATTTTGTGCTTTGAACCACTGCTGGAGTTGTTGAGACCAGCCTTTTCCAGAAGCACACCATGATCCCTCTTGCGAATCTTCACAGAACTTCAGCAATAACACTTCTCTCATGAAAACATGCAGGACTTTGTGGTAGCTGTTTTTAAGCCATTAAAGTTGAGGAAAATATTTTGTACTGTGCTGGTGAAGAACATTGGAAGGTTTACATGGTGTCTCTAAAAAGACTGAGATCACCTAGTAATATTGTTCTGTCATTCTAGAGGTCCAAGAAAGCCTTTAATTCATATTGAGGAAAAGATATCTTGCTTTCTTATTCCATCCTTCAAGCTACCAGCTGGACAATCCTGTAATCTCCACAATGACAATGTAGTAGGGTCCTGCTTTTTTCATTCATTAGCTCAATGTCCACATTATAGTTATTATTTCACCTGCCTCTATGTTTGCTGGGATGGCATATGCCTCAATGGACTCTTTAGCCAACCAATTTTCTAAGAATTCTATCATCACACACTGCATGGACATGTCCTCTCAGGCTCAGAGAATCAAGTAGCAATGAGTCAACATCATGTGGATACACAGTCAGCTCCTGTGCTGCTGCTGTCTCTCAGTGGATCGGAAATGTGCTGGTTTTAGCAATAGTAGAACTTTCCTAAATCTTAAAAATGCAGACAAGAGTTCAAATACTTCATGCCTTGGTCAACCCATTTGAAAGACTTAGGAATACTGAGGGTGAGGGATAAACACTCTGGAAATCAGAACATGGCTATGAAAGGCATCATTCTGTGCTTCAGTTTCCTGGTTTGCATTTTATAATTTCTTCCAGCAGACAGCTGCATTAGGGGTCTATATGGAGAGTGCTGGGCTTCCTCTATTCCTGTTTCCATATAAAAGGCAGTGTCTGCTACTGGCTCTTGATACTCATATATGTGTTTTGGGGAATGAAACTTGCATCAGTCAAAGCATATGAGTGACAGGGAATTCTGCACAGGAAACAGGGTCCTTCTGTCCTATTGTTGCTGGTTAAAAAAGTCTCCCTTTCTGATTGTCATTCCCATGATCCACAAATTTCTGGGTTGATTAGGAGATATATTTATTATGTCTTGCCTTCTGTGACTCAGCAGCAAACAGGTTTCCATTTACAAACAAAAGTAAAATGACATCCACAATTGTCAAATACAAAAAGACAAAAGTGACAAAGACATTTTGCTTTAATACTTCTAAGCAGGTACTGCAAGTAACAGAATGCACACACAGGCACAAGGGAATATTCAACATGGAATTTTGAAACAGTTGGCAGCACTCAGGTCTTAGAGAAAGAAATGGTGCTGCCTGCCTCAATAGCAATTGGCATTTTGTGGTCAGCTGCCCAAAAAGATGAGTGCAGCAATGGCTGTGGGCAGCTGCAGCAGCTGAGCCAGCAAGCCCTGGCACAGGGACAGAGCCAGCAGGTGTCAGCCAGTCAGGCAGCACCTATGCACAGCATCAGCCTCACATAAGACCTCAGGAGGACATGGAGATGGTGCATGCCCTTCCAGCTATGCTAGGCACTTCTCTGCTGTTACAGCTAGTTTCTGCATGACCAGTACTGAGGGAAAATGATTAAAGGCAGGGTAGCTGTGGATCTCTAACTGTGCTCCTCTGTTGGACTTTCACTGAGCTCCTATCCATGACCATGTCATCCATGTTTTCTGCAGACAAACTTGCCCGCTAAGCTAGGGGCAGACTGTATGCCAGGCTTTTATGGAGCAGCCCTAGAAGCACTGCTGAACTTTGTGCCTTGGGAATCACTTGGAGCAGTCAAACAATTCTGTATATTCCTTGTCAGCATCTAATAATTTTCTTTATCTTTCTCCATTTTCTATATGACTCAGAGAATCATGAAGCTAATTAATTCCATAGATCAGCTTTCTGCTATAATCAGGTATCCTGTTTGGCATTTCCTTATCTGATCAGATAACCAATTATTTTCCCTTGTACAGAAGGGTGAGTACATAAGGACCACTCAGATGAGAATTAATCAGGACTTGTTCCTCAAACAGAGCTCAAATCAAACTTTTTCTGATGTTATCAGTGGATGCTACCCAGGTTTCAAAGACAGGTGCTCATATATTTCTGACCTTTCCTTCCCACCACAGAGAAAAAGGGCCTAAAACAGAGAGAAAGGTATTTTGCTATGGGCTTATATTCTTTCACCCATGCTTCTCTTTCTGCCTTTCCTAGACTCCCTTGATCAAGAATCTCTTGATCTTTTGGTTCTGAAAGCCATCACAGCAAGTTTCAAACAAATCCAATAATTCATAACTTCTCCCTCCAAGAAATATGCAGAACTCCTTTTGCATGTTTATATCTGATCCTCTTTACAGATGCATTTTAGAGCTTCCCTACATTAACATCCCTAGTCTTCAGGTTACTTCAGATGATTCCTTTGTCTTTTCAAAACTAAATGCCTTTTTTTTTTTTATTTCAGGAATGAAAGTGACTTCTTACCTCTGTCTTTTCAATAGTTGAGAGGAAGCATTGTCACTTTTGCAGCTTCCAGCTCATGGTATTTTCTGCTCGAAGAGAAGTTTAAGCATAGCCAAAGGATGTCTCTTTCACCTTAGATAATATGCCACTTCTGTAAGGCCAAGAGGCTCAACAGGTAAATGAGCATGAATTTTACAGAATTCAGCTATCTAAATTAGACCAGTTGAGATTCGGGTTGGAGAAATCAAAATCGATTTGTTCTGGAAAGAATGTACAGTCAACAATTGACTGAAAGTTGCTTTTCTTGTAAAAGCATATCTTTGGCTTGAGGATGTCAAAGAGTTTTCTTCTGAATCTTTGTACTTTTTTGTGGTCCTATTTGGATGTTAAATTCACCTTCACACTACTTATTCACTTTCACTTGCACCTTGCTTTTAGACTGGGTGCTGAGCTGACATGTCTACGGGAGGTGCCTGACACATCCTATGGCTGTCACTGAGCAAGACCGAGTGGCCTCTTTTTCTGCCCATTGGTTTCTCATACTTCAGTGACTCTCCTGTTCATTTTTGGAAGGCCTTGGAGCTCTGCTTCACTTCCTACACAAACTAGCTTCTGCGGTTGAGTAGGCTGAAAGGTTTCGTGTCCATTTTTCTTCCACATTGCCCTCTCTTTATGCATTTTTCCTCCCTGTCCAGTGGAAACAATTACTGAGTTAGGTGTTAGAAGTTTTCAAATCCCAAAAAATAAACATGCAGGTATGACTCCTTGACTTCTTTTCTTCTCCCATTAATAACACTATCCCTTTCTCACTTAGTGGAAGACTTATGCATCAGCACTGCTGCCTGGCCAGTGTATTTGGGAAATGAAGTTTGGTGGAGAGGCAAAGTCCCCAACAAAGAAACAGAATGGGATCTGTGAAGTGCTGTGATGGCTCTTCAGAATTGAAGCAGTTTCTTTGTTTGCCTGCTCAGATTTTCAATGAAAAATTGAAATGTTCTGTGGGAAACAGAACCATTTCATGAATAATGCACCGCAACGGAAGGCTTGCCTCTCTGTTGCAAAACAGTTTGATGTAAAACTTTCCAGTTTCTTCCAATCAGGAAAATGTAGAACTCTCTCTGTGCTGTCCTAGGGCTCAAAAGGCAACATAGCTGTTGTCCTGTATCTTCAGTAGCGATAAATGTTTGATCAGCTTGTGTGCTTAAGATATAGGTATGAGAGGAAGGAAACAAGGCCTAATTTACTGGAAGTCCCCTTGAATTCTCCTCAGAAATAATACAATATGGCATTCTTTAGGCCAGGGATAAGGCTTAACTTTTTCTTGCTTGTTTCTGTTGTAAGTTTGCTTTGCTCAAAGGCCTGTATTTTTTCCACACATTTGTTTTAAAAATTCCAGCCTTATTTCCTATTCTGCCATTGCACCAGCTTTGTCTCCTGTTTCCTATAAATGATATTTTTCACTGAGGTAGATTAAGCTATTCAAATACCTTTATGGTAATGTGCTTCTAAACTACATTCTGTAATAATTACTAAAGATATATATTGTAAAAAATAATTATCCCAGTTTTGGTGTCAGAGAGAAAACTGAGACTGCCAGTTGCTACATGGACAACCTCAGCTGAAAGGCCAACAAAAGCCACCACAGCTGGTTTGGGAAGTTTTGACTGCATGTATGTTAGTCTCTCTTCCAGCAAGATATAAGCTTTTAATCCTCAGGACTTCCAGAGTCAGTGGACTCCTTTCCCTTATCATCTTCCCATTTCTACCTGTCTATGGGTAACATTTGGTAGAGGTGGTACATAAACCCTCTGGCTGCTTTCATCATTCTGTCAAAGGGACAAAAACAGTCAAAGTGCTGCAGCAAGAAAACAAATGACCAAATAGCTGTTGAAGCAGGAGGTTCCAACTCACTGGAGCTCAGCTTATTACAGGCCATATGCCTGAGTGGCTCCTCTCACTGAGTGCTGCACCCAGATACGGAAACAAGTGGGAAAGTGACTGTGGTTCATCAGGCCTGGTTTTCTATAACCATATGCAACTACTGAGAGCACAGAAAATAAGAGCCTGAAAAGGCTGTGGGGCTAACAGGAGAGAGAATCCTTGACAAAATATGACATTAATATATAAATTTCCCAAATATTTATACAACGATCATAATAGGAAATAATAATTTGGTATTTCAAGCTCACAGTAGATGATCTTGTTTTAGTCCACAGGCTATATTCATAGATGATGCAGCTTAATATAGGTAGGGAAATAAATGGGAATGCTCTTCTACTTTTAAATATCTAGATATTTTTAAATATCATGGGGTTGAATTAATAGTTTTTCTTTACAGATACCATTAGCTCATGCCCTTTCAGCTATGCTCAATGTTTGCAGGGCTTGCTGTGTAAATGAGGGACTAAGCATATGACTCAAGTCCTGAATGACGGATGTGTTACAGAGATAGAATGACAGAACTGCCAGAATAAGGAGAACAGAAAGGGTGGAAGAAGTCTGTTTTTCACCTGGCATTTCAGTTATGTGTATTTGGCAGAACTCTTTCCAAGAGCACTGAAGTGTCAGGCTCCAGCCAACCATTTCTATTTGGTGTTAGGAAGTCTTAAAGGGAAGCGGCCATCAGCAACCAAGAGCTTGTTCTAGAGCTGCTATATTCCCCATCCTCTCTGTAGAGTACTTATTTCCTCACAGGATTTAGTTGATTAAAAACTTATTCTAGAAGACATGTTCCTGGGAAAGTGGCTTTGCTAATTTGGAGAAAGTATTCTTAGTCAGAATAATGACCAATTCAAAAGGGTTTCCCCAAAAAAGATGGTGTTTCATGTGGCCAGCTCTGTGGCCTTTTAATCCTCTAGATTGGGGTTATGTCATCTGTCTAGTAGCTCTTTGCACACATAATTCACAATATTGTCATAATTCACTACAGCTACTTCCGTCCACCCACATTTTGTAAAAAGGACAATAACAAGCTTTATTTCATTTCATTTCATTTCATTTCATTTCATTTCATTTCATTTCATTTCATTTCATTTCATTTCATTTCATTTCTACTCCTCCTCTATGTGAAAGACTTCTATCCTACCTTTGAAACCTTTCACCTTTATTTTCCACTTTGGTGGCTTGTGCCTCCCCTTTTATATTGTCCAATTGAAAGGGTTTTTTTTATGGCTTGAGTACCTCGCTTAACTTTCCCAGCAGCACATCAAGTAAGCATGCCCTTTATAACTAAAATGAGCTGTACTGACACTACTGGTCTGCCTCTGGTTTGGTCTGAAACACTGTTACATGAAATGCTAGGAAGGTGTCTAGACAGAGTGCAGAGTAGGCACCACATGCGCACTGTTAGAAGACATTAGTAATCCCTCAGTGTCAGTTGCTGTCCTCATCTGTGTTAGTTCAAAGGGAAAAAAAAAGTATGTGGCAGTGTTTTCACCTGCACAGGATGGTTTAAACAGGCTTTCTTTTCATGTAGCAATAAGCAAAACTAGATATGCAAAGTTGATTTCTTAGAAATTAAAAATATTGTCTTACCAGTCCTAATAAGTTTGCCATCTTTTGCCTCTGTGTTGCATAAAGGCCCATTAATTATGCTGCTGTCTCTGAACATGGTTCCAAAGAACAGGGTGACCACCTTTTTCAATAAAATTGCAGATTTACAATTTTCCAGCTCAGTGAATTGCTGGTATTTAAATATATTGAAAGGCCAATGCCAGACTGTTCTGCCTCCCTGTGCTGCATTTTACCGGGAAGGAGATGCTGGAAGGGTGCACGAGGAGAGAAAGAAAAGGAGCAGAGAAGAAAAAACACGGCGGGAAGGCAGGCAGATATGATGATAGGAAAAGCCTTTAAAATCAGAAGGAATTAGAGTGCCTGGAAGGACCTAATGCTCAGAGGTGAGTGGCCCTCGGTGTCTCCTCAATCCTTCTCTAGCTCCCAAATGAGAGCAATAAACATTACTGGGAGCCCACAGAGGGCAAGGCTGATATCTCCCAGGAGGTATGGTCCATCACTCTGGCTCTGAGATGAGGACCAAGCTGGTCTCACTACCTTTTGCCTCTTTGCCCTGGGAATATCAGACCAAAGCACAAACTCTGTGCCGTGCCTCAAATCCAGGTACATGGCCACACAAACATGTTCCTACTTCCTGTCAGCTCTCCTTGGCTGGGAAGGGAAAGATGAGTCCATGCAGGTTTTTGCTGTAGTTGTCTGCAATTGAAAATTGGTTTTATCCATCTGCAAAATTGTACATTTTTTTGCCAACAGGGAAGGCAGGAAGAAAAAACTAGTAGGAAAAAAGGTAAAGTGACTGAAGAAAATATTAATGTTTATCTTCATAAAAATTATCAGAAGATAAAGGGATGAGGGTTAGTAACTAAGGCAAAGCTGGCTCTTATATTTTTGTGCCTCTGGCTTGTGTTTGTATGTTGTGACATATAGCTAAGGAGAATCTTGTGTTTGCCTTACCTGAGTATGACAAACAGCCTTTCTTACAGACAAAAAATAATAAAATATGCAGCACATAAAGCTCACCATCTCCTCTCATTGCTTATGGGAACAGTAATGCTCCTGAGGGCACTTGAGTACTGCTGACATTGGACATCACTGGTGGAGGAAACAGCATGGTAATCTTCTGCTAACACTCAGCTGAATCCCAGGAAACTGACTGAGAGGTGAGAAACGAGTTTGAGTACATGGATCATCTGTTGAAAGCAGTGCTTTCAATCTGTTGAATTGTGCCTGGTTTTAGACATGGATGGACCAGTACAGGACCGTCCCTATTGCCTGGTTGTGCTCAGAGGAGTAGCCTGACTGTGCCCAGCACAAGCACCCTGCCACAAAGTCTCTCCAACCTGAGAGAGAAACTGCAGAGACAGAAGAGAGTCCCAAGGACCTTTAAATATTGGCTCCTTGATTTTCCTCTACTCTCTGTTTTCGAAACTAAGCTGTTGTGATAACAGCCAGGAGAGTTTTTAGTCTCTCCTCCTTTGTAGGGTTTTACTCTCAATTCACCCTGGCTTCCAGATTGCACACATAGAATTCTGCTGTGTGTGAGGCTGAAAGAGGAGACTCAATTTCCCTGTGGTGAAGGCTTGCAAGAGCTTCTGAGGGAAGTCCCACTGCTAAAACACCATCCTTCTCTTTCCACTCTTCCCATTGTCCTTCTTTTCCTAATATGCCACACTGCATAGACAGATGTCTGTTCACACCTGTGCCCGGTATTACTGGACAAAGATTTATTTTTGGTTAGTTCGTGTATGGCACTTGGATGACCTTGATGCAAATCTCACTTGGAGTGGAAGCTTTCTATGAGTTTGGCATGTAGGGTGGAAATCATGTGAGGGTAACCTCCCCACAGATGATTCTACTGTGAATCAGAGACTGTCACATCTGTCTCCTTCCCAAAGCCAGAAATTAAGAGAAGGAAATATGTCTAGAGCACAGTGCATTAGACTTATTTCATTCCTGTTTTAGATAAATATCTCTCAGAGGGAACTGTTTCTTTCTGGCCACCTCAGGGAAGCAGTATTTTTCGTAGGCATCTCTGTCATGGATAGCTTCCTTTAGCCAAATAAATTGTACTGCAGCCACTCCTGTCTTAAAGTTTACCCTTTGTAATCCAAGGTGGCACAGACATTTTCCTTTTGCAGAGATGCTGAGAAACTTAAATGAAATAATGCTTGCATGGCATCTACATGGGGAGGTGAGAGCAGTATGCGAATGGTTACTAAGCCTTGAGCATGATGAGCTGCCCTCCAAAAGCTGTCAGAGAGGAGTTCCTCTAGCACTGGCACCTCTGTCCGTCAGGAACACAGGAGTTGCCTCCATTGCCTCGTCTTTATCATGAATTGTTGGCAACATGTGCAGGTGATAAAGTACATGGTTTGTTGCAGGAAAGGCAACGCAGAACCTTCAGCCTGTACAGAGGCTGAAGCTCCTCAAGAAAAGTCACAGCCATACATTAACAGAAAGTAAAGATACTGTGAAATTATTGTCAAGGGAGACAATGGAAAGGGAGCTTGATGTAAAATGTCTTTTTAATTCCTTTTTATTTAAATTCCTTTATTTGGTTTGCATTTCTCTCTATCACACACGCACCAAAAATAAATCTAGGATTCAAGAAAAACTGTAGTTATTTTCAGTTTGTGTTGTAAGAGAGGTTCAATTTTGCCAAAAAGCAATGGGTTTACTGAACTCCTTTAAAAAAAACCCCAAATATTTCTTGTCTAAGCACAAGGAAGTGGCACTGAAATATATCTTTTTTCACATGTCACTTTAGGAAATTAATTTTACTGCTTGCTTTAGCAAGATCAGGAGTTCATCCAAATTACTGATCATGTATCTGTTTGAATATTATATTTTTCTCTAGAACTTTGTTCATGAAAGTCATTCTGTTGACCATATTCTTCATTATTAAGATCCTAGTCTTACTTTTTCCTAATCTTTGAAATTTTTAATCCGTCACAATTCTGTGTTACCACTTTCTTGATCCAAACATGGCAGTAAATAGTTGTTTACAAGGCACAAAAATGTATCAAAATAATTAAGGCAAGGCTGGGGTTCTGCTGGTGTTTGCTTACATTGCTGTGGAAGAATATGCATACTTACTATGAAAACTCACCTTCAGAAAAAGAGAATTGTTTGCAGATTCAAATCAAATTTGTTTCTTCAACATATTTTAGTGCATTTACCAAAATCTCTAACAGTATGTTCTCCTGTATTGCTCAGGTGGATCTGAAAGAGTGCTTTCTCTCTTGGCCTCTCACAGGCACACACATATACATGTGCACACATGCACAAACATACACCAGGGCAAGTGCAGAGAAAGTTCACCAGGCATTTCAGTATGTGTTAGGCCCCACAATTCAAAGCTGGTTTTTGTGTAAGGGGATTAGGACTTTGACTGACTTTCTATGGCATATGGAGAATGAAAAGTACAATAAAGCATGCTAAAGACTAGAGACCAGATAAAATTACGTCAGCAGTTAATTGCTATGTACACTGTACAGCTGCAAATGAAACACAGCAAGAGACTTGAACAGATTCTATTATATAGGATTATAGCAATGGTCTGAGAACAAAGCTAGAAATTCAGAGAAAAACAACCTAGAAATTCCCAAATAACAAAACAAACAGTTGGAAGCCCTATGGTGTTTTTAACCATTTTGTAGCTGGAAGGGTCTTCCTACAATCATTTTCCATGACAGTGTTGTATCTCCCTCAGGTTGGAAAGAACAACTCTTGGCTGCTTTCATAACCCAGACTAGCAGCAGTGATGCTTATGTTCTGCAGGATCCTACACTTTTCCTCATAGCTACTCTGCATTGCAAGAGTGAGAGATGAACAGCAACTAAATCTGGGCACTGGTGTTCAGCAGATTATGGGGCATAAAGAGGCTCCTCATGCTTTGTCTGTGCTCACAGCATTAAAACATCACCTCTATCATGTTTTGCTGTACCTATGGGGTGCTCTTCTTCCCTCCTCACCAGGCAGCAGGGGAAGCAATGGAGCTGGTGACTTCTGGGCTGCACACAACCCAGTGCTCCAGGGCTGTCTCCATCCTTTTTTCAGAGAGGCTGCCCTAAGACACCCGTTCAAGCTTCACACAATCTGCAGGAGCCACTCCTCAAACTTTTGGACATTTGAGTGCCTTCCAAATGCTCAAATGGGGCTTCATCCTGCTCAGTTAAAGAGGGTATATTGTTTTATTTAAATTATGTGTAAGGTCCTGTTGTAATATGATTTTTTCGTGGATGTGAGATGTATATGCCCTTGGGTAAAGGGAAGAATATCACTGGACAATGACATCAGCACACAAAGAAATTAAAGCAAAACCAATTTCCTTTATGCTTGCATAACAGAGTGGGCCAAGTCTTCTTATGTGGGAAGACAGTAAAGAAACTCTTCAAAGGAATTTCAGATAAACAGCTCCTGTATGACTATTTGAGACTCATTGATATTGAAGATGGATGGTTGTCAAAGACAGACAACATTATTTTCCATTTTGTTAAATGTACAACTTACAATAATGCTAGTCTTTAAGGTGTTGTATAGTTTGGGGTTTTTTTCCCTGTTGTTGATAAAGGCTATTTGTCAAAAATGTGGCTATTAAGCCATTTTCAGTCCCTCACCTACCTTACACATATGGCAAAACATAATGGGTTTTCGAACTGGAAAAATATTTAGCATCCTAAAAATTATGTCTAGGTTGATTTGAAGAATTCATCCACCTGTTGTCCTAAAGCTTTACTAAGATATGTGTACTGCTTCTGACATGTTGTATATTATAGTGTCTTATTCAGAAATAGGTAAAGAATATCAAAGGGATAAATAGCTTTTCCGTTTAGAAGAGAACTTTTCTATTGAAAATATTTTCACCCCACTAAAAATAGAAAATAGACTAATTGAACAAAATAGCTTTTAAAGCTGTAAGCTCAAAAGTTTACAGCATAAAATGTAACAAATTTTTGTTTTGTCTCCTAAGCTGTTGGCACTACATAGTCCTTTTACACAATGTGGCCTCATGCAGCCTCAGCCCACAGCTTTTCCTGGTTCAGACTCTGCAGCCAGGCTTTGAACAAAAAGTGTGTTCCTCTAAGTGTGCTGGTGAGCACCCATGGTGGCTGAGTGCTTAGGTCCCCCACCAGGAAAAACTCATGCTGGTTTTCTGCAAAAATGCTCCAGAACCTACAGCTGGTCACTTTTCCTGCAGGGAGAATATTCATACAGTGAAATGCCATTCAAGGTGACTACGGATGGCAGAAGTACCAGTCAGTGAGGCACAAAAGCCCACAAGCTGATATATCATTGTATACAGCATACAGGAGCAACACATGCTATGAATTCCCCAAAAGGCTTTGGAGTAATTGATGCTACTTCAGAAATACGTTCAGGCAACCAAGGTTTGAATCTGCCTCCAATTTGGTGAGAAAGCAGCAGCAGGTTTCAGACTCAGTGGATGGCAATGGAGGCTTCCTCCAGGAATCAAATGTATCACTTATTTATATTTATATAATAGATACAATTATATATATATATATAGTAACATAAAGTAGTAAATTACATTTCCAGGCTCCAGTGGATATATTTTTACAAGAATTGAACACATATAGCAAAAAATATGAGCCTGGTTTGGTTCTTTTGTTTTCTCCCCAGTACAAATGTGACACTGTGCAACAGCTCTCAGATGGCTACGAGTTAAATTTTGTGTCTCTCTGGAATAAGAAGACAATTTCTTAGTGTTGCAGCTGAGTGTTATGCAGACAGAGTGGCTGTAAAAATCTTCAGTCATTTGTGTTAGTCACAGAAGTAATAACTTTATTGCTAGAAGAGAGGCAGATTGCTGATGTTTTGAGGTAATACTTTTTCCTCTTCATATTTATTGTAATATCAGACAAGGTTTTACTGGTGTCACACAGACATTTGGTATTGACATGCAAAAGGGTTTGGTCTTCTTGAGAGATTCTAAGTTAGATAATTTGAATATATATTTTTTATTTTATTTTTGTTGGATCTTATAAAATATTTCCTTTTAATTGTTAACACACTTCATTTTAGCATGTTGATTATTATATCCTCTCCTTTTTACCACACTGAACCTTTTTTTTTATATACTCTTTGGCAGGGTTTTATATTTGTTCTCTTTCACCAGGTAGGTTATACCTATGCTTGCATTTCTTCTTTTTAATTTTGTTTTCATGCTGCTAAGCAGAGCTAGTAATTTGAATGAATTCTTACTGCATTTTCAGGAAGAAGAACTGACTGAGCCCAACACAAGTGATCTGTAAAGCCAGAAGGAGCCTTCTCCACTCGGATGATCACAGGTTAATGTACCCCCACACTCACAAAATGGAAAACTGGTGAAAATAGAGAAGAGGATCATGATAGTCTGAGTAGACAATTCAGACATTTCATAGCAGTCCCCTGGACAAAGGCCGTAAAGTGGAGCCATGCCAAGTCAAGAGACCTAAAGTTTTTTACAAGAACTCTTATATCAGCACTCATGTCCCTCAGTTTTAACCTGCTGGAGTTATGTATAATTAATGTAGGGGTTGAGAAAGTCATCTGACATCAGCATAAAGAAAATGTTAAGCTTTCTTAGTTCCTAGTGCATGATTTTTAAGACATTTTAATCCCCTCCCTTTCAAGTGTGGATTTACTGGGGAGGTCAAGGGGTCATTAACACTTCCCCTGCTCCTCTACCATTAACAGGCAAACTCATCAAGGACTGGTGTTAGATAGTATTATTTCATTAATGTACATACCTGTACTTGGGTTTTTTCCTTCAGCCAAGTCCTCATCATCCTATTTCTTTAACAGTATTTGAAGCTTAGAAATTATCTTTCATTTAAATATTATCAGCTTAAAACAGACCTTACTGTTTTTAGATATTGCAGATGTTCTGGGAGGAAGAGAGGAGGCTTGCCCAAAATTGTTTTGCTTGCTATTGCAAGGACCAGAGCCACAATGGAGAAGATGTTTCACCCTGTTGCACCAATGACTGTACATCGCTCTTTGGGTAGTAGAGAGGGGCAAGATCATAACTAGGCAACCTCTTGTTGGAGACTGACAAAACAGATGAAACTAAAATGGGATAACTGGCACTGTATCAAATGTGGTAAAGCAAGGATAATTCCTCTGCCTGCTGTAGAGGCAGGATGATACCTGCCTACATATCTCTTTTTGAAAGTCACTTAAGGATCCACTGTTTTTTACAGCCAAATACCCCTCCATATGTAAATTTATTTAGTCAGTGTCATTTTATGGTTATGTACACAAAGGCAGAAGAGCATGACATCACTAAGTGCACCCTCAGACACCAAGTAGAATGGTATGGTTGACACACCTGAAGGAAGGGATGCCAGGAGGGACCTGGACAAGTGCAAAAAGTGGTTGCATAGTAATCTCATGAGATTTAAGAAGACTAAGTGCATGGTATGCACATGGATCAGGGCAACCCGTACTATCAATACAGACTGGGGATGAACAGATCAAAAGCCGGCCAAGAGGGGCTTGGGGGTGCTGGTGGATGAGAGGCTGGACATGGAAAATGTGCACTTGCAGCCCAGAAAACCAATCATACCCTGGGCTGCATCCAAAGCAGGAAGGGGAGGAGCCAAGCATTTTTACCTAGGTATAATCTGAGATTTAGAAATACCACAGTCAACCTTTTCCCACTGGATTCCCAGAGAAGAAGCCTTTTTGCCAGTGGATTCCCAGAAGAAGACCAGGCCCATCTACACCACCACCAGACCTTCAGAAGAAAATTACACTCTTCTACAAGTTCATTGTTTCAACAGAACCGCATCTGTCACTATAGGAGGACGGCAGCCACCATTCAATCAGACTGCTACCAACACCCTGACCAACAGGGTGTCAGGTTGTATTCTGACTCTGTCAGTATTGTTTTGTATTTCTGCATTTTTATTTTTACTTTTAAGTTTCCTGATAAAGAACTGCTATTCTTACTCCCATATCTTTGCCTTCGAGCCCTTTAATTCCAAAATTATAGTAATTTGGAGGGAGGGTGTTTACATTTTCCATTTCAAGAGAAGTTCCTGCCTTCCTTAGCAGACACCTGTCTTTTCAAACCAAGACAACGGATTTCCCAGAGAAATTGTTAATGTCCCAGGAAGTGTTCAAGGCCAGGTTGGATGGGGCTTTGAGCAATCTGGTCTAGTGAAAGGTGTCCCTGCCCATGACAGGAGGGTTGGAGCGGGATGATTGTTAAGGTCTCTTCCAACCCAAACCATTCAATGATTCTGTGATTCTACGATACTATGACATGGAGCCTATTAAAGCCAGTAAAGCATTTTCTGTGTGTCTGTTTTTTACTGTTTTCTTAAGGGTAAGCTTGTTTGTCTTCTAAATGGAAGAAATGAGTTTCAGAGGCTACCTGGGTATTTTGGATCACTTGCTCTCTAGAAACACAAAAAAATACCTAAAACACAACCCATGTACACTGAATATATGAAGTCAGAAAGGAACTGACTCCTGTTAAGTATGCTAATGCAATAGAAACTGAAAATGACCATATGATATGTAGTGAATGCAAGTTATATAGAAGAAAATGGCACATCACCTCAACATTAATTACTTAATGGCACAAAACTGATTATATAAAAACTGCTGTAGGCAGTAAAAGTTGAGTATAGTTAGGCTAGTGTAACACTATGAACTCCAAATATCTATTTGACATTCTGCCTAAGGTTATATTCTTTTTTTTTCTTCCTTCTTGAGATGGTTTCTTTTTCATTCTTGTTTTTTGCTTCCTTCAGAGTGTCTTGGTTTTCTCCAGCCTAACCCTCCTGGGACAGACAATGATAGAAAAACTTCAGTTTGCTGTTATTTTACTCTGCTTTACTTAGCCTCTTAAAGTTGCTTAGTTGCTTTAGAGACATTCATGTTCTGATATGTGAGGACAAGATATCATGAGGCACATAGTACAATAGTAAACCCAGGCTTTGATCTATTGCTAGAAATGGATGTGGAAAGAGAGAAGAAGATCTATATCTATATCTTTATAGATAGATAGATAGATAGATAGATAGATAGATAGATAGATAGATAGATAGATGACTATTTAGAGGAGTAAACAGAAGTTACTGTGATACCACAGCTCAAAAGAAAATGGGTCAGGTGAAACCTACTAAAGTCTTCCTCTGACTCAGGCAAACTAGCTACCAGCCCAGTTTAGTAGTATAAATAGGTTAAAACTTTCTGTGTGAACATTATTTTAATCCAAAACCAGGGTTACCAGACTTTCCATGTAGCTACAGGCCATTGTCACATGATCTCAGCTGCATGACTTTCTCAGTGAGGGCTTGGCTCTTCTCATCCCCAACTGCCCTGTTTGGAGAAAAGCTGAGCAGATCACTGGTAATCTGCTGAGCTGTTTTGGCCATGATTTGCAGGGAGCCTATCACCTGCTGACATATGCCTGCTATTCATCTCATACTGAAATCCCTCACTCAAGTCTCTTATTCACAAAAAAAGGTGTTGGAGGCAAAAAAGAATTACATTATTTTTCCCTTCTAGATATCTTTTAAATGTGGCCTTTTGTCTCCTGCTCAGGTTTATTTATATACTTTGGCACATCAGAAAAGTGACTGGCAATGTTAAATACTGTGATTTGAATTAGTGGTTTGTGTAGCGTCCAAATAATCTGAATAAAGTCCATTACAAAAATGCTGGAAATTGACATTACATCTATGTTGATGCACATTTCAGTTGCCAAAAAAAGAGCAGTTTGGCTGGAGGATCCAACAAAATCTGCTTAGTGGGTCTTCCTTGGCGAGAGCCCACAAACAGATTGCTTTCATACACTACTCCCTTAATCACTGTAAAGAGGTTTCAGAGAGATTAATAATAACTAGTGCAGTTGTTACACCCACGCACAGTGACTCAGACACACGGCCCAGGAAGAGTCTTTACCTGTGTGGGCCACACAGACACATGCCAATATTTAGTCCAATAAAGTTGTCTTTCCAGCAGCATGAATGATAATCTTGGAGGTAGATGATGACAGGGCTGTCAAACAAGTCCCTATACTGCGACACAGCCCAATATATAACAGCATCTCACTAGAGCCTCATTAAAGGCTGCAGTGAAATCCTCTCACTCTCTCTCCCTTTCTCTCTCCAATATCAGCAACACTGATTAAAACAAAATAATATCTAGTCCCAGCGTCATGCTGTGCTGCAGTGAGAGGATTCTAAGAGTAATGAGGGCCCATTTGGTTTAAATGAATTTTTGGCCAGTGTTTCTGAGCTCAGGACTGAGGCATCTGGCTGTTAGTCAGATGCAATGCAGGCTGTGGCAGTGGGGGGTGGTGGAGGAGTTCTGAGCTGCTGCTGCTGCTCCTCAAGCTAAATGTGTGGATAGCCTTGGTGCTACTGACTGTGCTGGCCACAGCAGACACCCATCCATGGTTTTGTCTCTTTTGGACCTGTTATTTAGCTTAAATTCTGTAGGGTATATGTAATCTCATCCCCTATTTCTGACATAAAAGAGCAGCAATTGTGATTTGATTAACCTCCCTGGGAACAGGGAGTGCTCAGGAATACTCTATCCAAGTCTTTAGTCAGCTACAGATAAGCAGACAATAATAATTCAGTGGCCATTACAGAGCAAGTTCCATGTAGCAACCAGAGTTAAATAATTATGGATTGCCTCTGGCTTGCAGCTCATTTGATAGCAAAGCTCCTATTGACTTCAATGGCGCGGGAGATTGTGGAAGCCTTGGCAGGAGTAAGTCAACCATAACATTATCTATGAAAATAAAAGCCTTCCAAAAAGAGAAATAGAGATAAACTGAGGACAATTAGGAAATATTTGAGCTCTCATTCCTACCTGCAATATGGTAGGAAGTCAGGCTCTAAATTAATTAATTTTGTGGTCAAAAAGACATAAGGCAACAAGCTACTTTGGAGAGGAAGAGAAAAACCAGATCCTGTTTGGCTAACTTGATCTCCTTCTATGAGAATGTAATCCACTTGGATGAGGGAAAGACTTGTGGCTGTTGTTTACCTGGACTTTAGTAAAGCTTTTGCCACTGTTTCCCACAGTATTGTCACAGAAAAGCTGTCTGCTCATAGCTTAGATGGGATAAAAACCTGTCTGGATGGCCTGAGCTAGAGAATTATGGTGAATGCACTTAAACACAGATGGTCACTGGTGGTGTTTCCTAGGAATCTGTTCTGAAGCCATTACTGTTTAATGGTTTTATCCATGATTTGGGTGAGGGGATCAGGTGTGCTCTCAGTCAATTTGCAGATGACACTAAGAGTGTTGATCTGCTGGAGGGAAAAGAGGCTGGATCAATGGGCCAAAGCCAGTTGTATGAAGTCCAACAAGATAAGGCACTTGGGTCACAGCAACCCTGTGCAGCAATACAGGCTTAGGGAAGAGTGGCTGGAAAGCTGCCTGGTTGAAAAGGACCTGAAGGAGCTGATTGACAGCCACTGACTGTAAGGCAGAAGGTGTTCAGGTGACCAAGAAAGCCAATGTCATCCTGGCCCGTATCAAGAACAGTGTGGACAGCAGGACTAGGGCAGTGATCATCCCCCTCCACTCAGCACTGATGAGGCCACACCTTGAATTCTCTATTCCGTATTCAAGTTTGGATGCCTCATTACAAGAAAGACATTGAGGTGCTGGAGTGAGTCTAGAGGAGGGCAGTATAGCTGGAGAAGCCTCTGGAGTTTCTGATAAAAACCTGATAAGTTTTTATCAGGTGTGGCTGAGGAATCTAGGGTTGTTTAGCCTGAAGAAAAGAAGGCTTATGGAACTCTTACCACACCATGCAGCTGCCTGAAGGGAGGCTGAAGGGAGGCTGTAAGCAGGTGGAGGCCAATCTCTTCTGCCAAGTGACAAATGCAAGGATGAGAAGAAATAACCTCAAGTTGCACCAGGGGAGATTTAGATTTGGTATTAGGAAAAAAAATCTTCACTGAAATGGTTGTCAAGCAGTGGAACAGGCTACCCTAGGAAGTGGTTTATTCACCATTCCTGGAGGTATTTAAAAGACACGTAGGTGTGTTCTTTGAGACATGGTTTAGTGAAAGTTTTGACAGTGTTACATTTGTGGTTGGACTCAATGTTATCAAAGGCCTTTTTTAACCTAAATTATTCTATTATCCTCTTCGATGAAAATCAGGAGAAACTTCTTTTCTGACCTTCAATTTCTCCCTGTGGAGAAGGGGCACAGAATTTATTTGGGGCAGTCTGGCTTACCTAAGATTTTCTTTTCAAGTTGTTTCTCTAACCCCTCGAACCCAGGCCAAAATCACACAGAGAAAATGACAGAAATATGGAGAGGGGAAAATTCACAGCAAAGTGTGAAGTACAATGTGAAACTGAAAAAAAGGTTTGGTTTTCTTGTTTTAAGAGAGGAAGTCAAACAGAGATTGAAATTGAACTTATGTTTAAAGTTTTTGTCCTTTTGGAAACCTGAAGAAAAGCACAAAGAGCTTCAATAGTCATAAAAACTTTTGGACCAGAAATCACATCAATAAATTTCTGCTATTCATCCCAAAGTTGTATTAGTTTCCTCCCACAATTTTTGCTACGAAGTGGCTGCTTCTTTAAATTCATCGTGTTCAGCACTGTCATTGTATGCACTGTACACAGTTAATCAGTTTAGTTACAGACCAGTTGGATAAGTGCAGTGTTTCAATAGACAGCCCCCTAAATGGATCTTTAGACCCTCAAATAAATTAGCAACTCACATATTATTTTAAATTCCAGGCTATTTGCCAGAAAAGTAGCATGCAATACAGTCTGCATTTATGAAACATGAGTGTGGGAAGATAGAACTGATTTTTTGTTTTTTTTTCAAATTTCTATATATTTATTTAAATCGGCAGCTTCAATTAATTAACTTATAATTGAATTAACTTGACTTAGGTGCAAGCCACATGTGTTTTAGAATTGTGTATGTTGTTTGTCTTGCTTGTTTTGCATAATCTGACAAAAGCTACATTGCAGAGGGCCCCAAAGATCCTCTTTGGCACAAATGGCATGATGTGCTATTATGTACAGAAGCCTCTCTTCACCCAAAGTAGCTATTAATGCATTGTCAAGACTTTCCAACTCAACAGGAAGAGTCATAAAATAAGAAAGAAATAAACAGGCTCAGACATGTTTTAATACAGCAGGAAAAAAAAAAAACAAACCAAAAAAACCAAATAAATTGGTAAAAAGGTCAGAAAGATGAAGGGAACAGGGAGGAAGGGAGAAAGGACTGACATGATCAATAGTTTGCCAAAGGAAGCACTGCTGCTATGAGGCCTGCACTCAGTTATGAGATAAGA